CAAAAGACATTTTCAAACTGCGTTTGCAATTCCAATACAATACTCTTTCCATACTTGTTTTTCATGAATCTCAAGCCAAGCCAATATGCGCCCTCAATTACGATGAAGGTGATGGAATTGAATAAATTCTTTTCACAATGAGGATTAACTAGACTAACGATTAAGATAATTGGAGACGCTCAACTAATAATAAGATTGAACAAATCAATCTCAATCTCCTGCAGGGAAATAAATGCATTTGCATTAAAACGATACAGCAACAGTGCAGATTAATCGAACGGATTCAATAGTAATAGGCAATTTGAAGAACAATTTAGCGTTGACCTTCTTCGTTAATAATTGCAACACTGTTAGACGAGAATGACCTCTGTGAATGCACATTAAAAAATTTTTTCAGCGGAACGCAAATGACTATTCATGAGTTCTCAATGCAACGGAATTGTTGGAATTCTTTTCTTTCCATTTGAAAATGAAAAAATTCCGTTGTGTTGGTGTGAAAGATGCAAAAAAAACTCAATTTCTCATTACAAAACATGCCATCCCATCAAATGACAATTCCATGAGCATTCATTCTGTCATAATTGTTTGGTGGTGCTGTTATACTGCATGCATGATTATATACAATTGTTTCCAGCAAACTAATCGCCAAGGACATACTTTTCGAACAAATCCAATCTGTTTTGTTATAAAAGGAGAACATGAAGACGTTTCAAATGCAAAGATATTCAATGAAGATTAGAAAAAGTTCAAGAAAACCAGAAAAAACCCTTCAACTGAGATTTCAAAAATTTATTTCATGCAGATGACAGATGACAGAATCAGGAACAGAATCCGACGATATTTTCAATCAATTAAAAACCTTCAACTAATCAAAATACTTGTCGAAATTACAAATTTTTTCGTACTTAGTCGTTCTGTTGTGTTTCATTTAAATGAGCCATTTACTACTTTCCGGCAATAAAAACAATTGGAATCAGGTCATAATCACACATTAAGAACGTTTCAATTGCATATTTTACAAAACCAACGACTCATCATCAACAGTCGCATTCAGCAATTCGTAACGTAATAATTCTCTTTTGTAGTCGTTCAACTGACAATTTGTGACATTAACAAAAAATTGCAATTCTCAAATTCTCCCACAACAAATTTAAATCCTCCTTTAGCAACCACAACAACAATGACGAGCAATTAAGAGATTTGTTTGCATTTTATAAATAAACGATTATCATTTTTTGAATGTCGAAAATAAATTCATCAAATTGATGCGAATAGATAGATAGAGGACTTCTAATAGTAAGGAAATCTGAAAATGAATGAAATGTTTCATTCGAGAGAGACACTGCCACAAAATTCATTGCAAATCCGAAAATTGCTTTGAATTACTAACAATNAATCCGAAAATTGCTTTCAATTACTAACAATAGGGAAAAGACATTCTTATTCCTGATGCGGACTATTGATTGGGTGAAACTTTAAAAGATCTTTCAATGCTTGAAACGTCGAACATTTCAATGAATTTATTAAATTCAGATCTGGAAGTGTTCGTTTCCTCCTTCAAAATGTGCAAAAATATTGACGACTGAGTGAAGAATTGCACTGCACGATTTCAGGTTTTCAAGAGACAGAGAACGAGATGAGACTTCAGCAGTACCATAAACATTCTGCAAAACTAGGCGAAGAACTTTCCAAATCACATATTGAGAAGACAGCAACCGAATCAACAATAAAAATAACAAACCTGAAATAAGTTGAACACAATCGGTATCCACAGTTTACCGACCAAGTCGAACAGTTGACGTGCTGTGCTAAGCGCCAGCCATACAGAGAGCACCACGATAAGCCAACCTCGAGCCTCAATCTCGCACATCGCATTACCCTAACTCGAAACCCGAAATCGCTACCAGCCACTGTTACAATGATATTCAGCGATTGTATGGGCAGCAGTAACAATGAATATTAGCAAGTAGCAGTTAATGGCAGTAAGAAGAAATAGCAACGAAGCCGGTGATTATCTAAGCTGATCCATACACAATTCGCTTGATCGTCCACTGCGCTCAAGAGGTTCTTGAACTTTTTTAAGTGAGTGTCACTCACCCTGAAAAGTAAACAGTCAGTCACTCCTTTCACTGACAGATCAAGTTAGGGCGGCGGAGAGGGCCAGCCGTAAATAAATTACGCGTTCATAAATAAATATGCTAATCGAATTCATAGCACGACGGATCTAACACTAATCTACTTTACTGTCAGCCAATTCAGTTCCTTACTCACGATCACACTTCCTTACATTGAATTATGTTAGAAAATGATGCGCAAGAAATCGTTTCTAAGCAGCAAACTGTGTTCGTTACACAATAACCTTCGCAATCAGAGGGAATTACGAAATCCTACCGAGTTGACTAGAAACAATAGTAATTCATCAATGAAATGCATACAACACACCACATCCATCCTACGATAGATATTACGACATAACGGTTAAATGCAAGAACAATAGCAAGAGTAATCAGAATTCCTCTAAAAAATGTGATCGATAACAGAGGAGAACAATCAATCGATCATAATTATGATCATAATAATGAATATAATGTAAAAAATTACAACAACGGATATGATCCGTAATGCAACCGACCAAATTCCATCATGTTGTTCAATTCACAAACGTACGCATCATGCTTATTTCATAAGATTTTAAGATTCACTTCATAAGATTA